GGGATGGGGGATGTCAGGGTCTGGGTGAAATGGGGGGTACCACAATCCTGGTGTGGTGGGGAGGGGGACATCAATGCCAGGATCCAGGAGGGGGCGTAGATCAGGATCTGAGAGATGGGGGGTATGCCAGGGTCTGGGTGAGGTGGGGGGGCACCACTAGGTTGAGGTGGGGCCCCAGGCAGAGCGTGCTGTCGCTCCTCCCAAAGGAGGCTGGCCTGGAAGCTCCATGTGAGGATCCCACCCCCTTTTTGCATCTGGGGGAAGGGGGTCTCCCATTAGCATTGGCTAGTTCTGGTTTTGAAATGGCTGAAGTGCTTGTTCAAATCCCCCAGCTGCTCTGTGGATGGAAGACGAGACCAGTGTTTTGGTTAAAATTGTCGGCCTTGGGAACCACAGGGGCAGCGGGTGCCCCTCTGTCCTACAGGGTCTCCGTGTGTCCGGGACAACTCGGCAGGCAGGGGCCTTTCCCACTTCATTTGGCCTGGTGGTGCAGTGGTTAAGCGGTTAGCTGCTACCTAGAAGGTGGGGGGGAGGGGAAGGACGAGGTTGTCCTTCAGGGGGACAGCCTGGGCTGCCCTGGGGGCAGTCACGTTTTTCCATCTTATCTGCGGGCAGCCTTGGACGGAGGGCTTTTGAAGGCTCGCAGGTCATAGTGGGGCTGGCAGGCACTGACCCTCTGTGACCTCTGTCTTCATGAGAAAACAGAGGGAGCAGGCTGTGTGACAGGGGGGCCCCTGGGGCAGCTTCAGGGGGATGGACGCAGCTGACACCCCGACTGGGAGAGGGTGCAGTCTGTCCTGTCGAAGTAGCCCCGGGACCCGAGGGGCACCCACCGTCCAGGTCCACAGCATCAAAGCCGCCACTGTCATTGTCCTCTTCAATCGTGCTGCGGGACAGAGCAGGCGACCGTGTGCGTGTGTGCGTGCGGCACACGGGCACACGCGTGTGCAGGGGTTCGGGGAGTGTCCTGACTGTGGGCCAAGGGAGGGAGGGTGGCAGGGAGTGCCGGACACTGGGAGGACCACGCCAAGAGCTGAGGGCAAGGCACAGGCCAAGGATACTTTCATCCGTGCAGGAGGAACAATGAGGGTCAGTGGGAGTGGGGGTCCTGGACAGCCCCCTTCTGCTCTGTGCGGCGTGGGGAGCATTTAGTGCCCGTCTGCCAGAAGCCACTGGCTTTTCTGAGCCTCAGCTCCGTGTCTGGACAACGGGCCCATACGCCCACCCTCCTGTGTGCTGTGCAGGTTAGAGCCCCACCTCCCCCACCACACACCTGCGGTGGGGGGCGTCTTCCTTGCAGCGCCTGACGATGGAGTCATTCCCTGGGGGCTCGGCCGTGATGGACACGATACTGTTGCGGCTCCGGTGGGGAGGCTTTAAACACGCACGCACACGCACACGCACACACAGGCGTGTCACGGGGAGCCGGCGCCTTGTGCATAAACACCACACCCACGGGGCCCTGCTGGATTGGCTGGCTCCCACAGCCTGCTGTCCCCACTAGCCGCTGTCCCAGTGACCTTGGTGGGTGAGGGCCGTGCATGCCTGGGGCAGCCGAACATCTGCTTGCCACCGTGTGAGGGGGAGGGG